TGTGTCTAGGATACACAAACAGCACACCTATAAACGTAATGCACGCAGAAGCCAAAATGCCAATGCTAGATTCCAGGCTTGACTACTTATGCAGTCGATATCTGCTGCGATGTCTCAGTATCCATAACCACCCAGTCATACGAAACATTGAAAATCTTGCCAATACTGCAAATACAACAATATACGAACACAATTTCAACAAATCAAGAACGATCAGGACTTTTGAAGAATGTGAGTTTTATAATGGTCAAATTCTCCAATACGAAAACTACCACAGGTTTGAAGTACCGTTCAGTGCACTCTTTTTTCAAGCTAATTGCGACGTAAGTACGGGCAAAAAACTGCTCAACTCAAAGAACCCAGAAAACGAATTCTCTAAGCTATTTCCGACAAACGCCACTACAACAGATATTTATACCGATGGCTCAAAACTAGTAAGAGGCAACATTGACAATGCAGCAGTTGGGTGTGCAGTCTGGAGCAACAAAGAATTCTTCCGAACCGATATGAAAATACCAAACCTAGCGTCTATTTTCACTGCAGAAAGCTTAGCCATTATACTCGCCCTAGAAAAAATAAGCCGCTGGAACGAAACAGCAACTGAGTCAAATGCGAACGTCTTCAGGATCTTTTCAGATTCACGAAGCAACCTCGAAGCCCTAAACAAAATCCATGGTCTCAAAAACGAGCCACCATTGGTGGAAAAAATTAAGTTAAAGCTCATTGAGCTGGCTGATAAAGATGTTAAAGTCGAGATCTTTTGGATCCCGGCGCACATCGGACTACAAGGAAACGAAAACGCAGATACAAACGCCAAAAAAGCCGCAGCCAAAGACATAAGCTCTAATGTAGACATACCAGTATCAGATATATTTGCTAAATTTAAGTACCTATGTAAGGAAAAAGATGTAACGCACACCAAAGAAATGGGAGAAACCAAAGGAACCCTATACTTCAAAACATACTGGGACAAGGGAAGCAAGCCATGGTTTGAAAATATCAGGGCGCATAGAAAAGTTATTACTACTATCAATAGAATCAGATGTGGACACAATGGAACGAATGCGCATTTATCAAGATTTAAAATTGTGAGTAGCAGCAAATGCAAATGCGAACAGTACGATGAGACGGTGGAACATATTTTTTGGCAATGCCATTTATATGAAACACAAAGGAATAAAATGTTAAGGAGGTTGAGAAAACTGCAGTTACTCGGTCCATACTCTGTCATACCCTTGTTGTCGAATATAAACAACGAAATTATTAGTATCATATCTGACTTTGTACTAAACTGTGATTTTAATATCTAAACTAAGTTTTAAATTACTATAACTCTGTACACATAGAAAATAATTCTAAGTTACTATACTGATTAATGTAAGAGCGAATTTAATTACAATCTCCCAGGAATATGTATTATATGTAAAACCATGAGGTTTTAATTTATGTTATAGATATAGGTAGTTTTGTAATCATACCAAAGCCAATAAAAGATTTAAAAAAAAAAAAAAATAAAGAAAAATTTTTATGCCGGATCCGAGGATCGAACCCCGGACTCCTGCGTGTAGGGCGAGCGGCCCGACCACTTGGCTAAGCAGTGAAATATCCATATTAACGATCTAAGTATCTCATTTAAATTATGCTCATATGTCAGCTCTTTGTAAATAATTATTTTCACAGTAAATCATTGTCCTCTTTAAAAAAATAAAATAATTAATATTAAGTACTAAGTTTCTATAAATATACTCGTACATCATTATGTTTAGTTTCGGATACAAAAAATATATATATTCTTAAATCATTGCATATGTTTATAAAATAAATACGGTAATAAACAAGTTTAGAGCAAATGTATTAGAACAATTAATAAATAACTAATTAATTGATAAATGATCAATAAATTAATAAAAAGGAACTAAAGTCCTTTTCTTTAAATGATGCCCGTCATAATAATTGAAACTTTACATTAAAAAAGGTTTTGCACTCGGCTAATTGCAGCTACAATACGTGTATTATCATAGAACCAGTTTAAATTAAGTGCAAACAGTAAAAATTATAGAGAATGGTAGTTATGAATAAGCAATGAAAATACAAGAGAGTAATGCAGCTGAAATCACTCGATGGAAACCAAGCGGGAAGGTGGCAAAACATTTCCATCAGGATAGGATGGGATGGGTGAATGAAATTTTGCATTAATTAATCTTTTTATTCTAGTATGATAAAAGAAAAATTTAGAACAAGTGTTACTTTAGAGTTAATTAACACAAATTTCGGGGGATATAGGGTGACTTGCATACCTGTGGAGCTTAAAATAAAGAAATGTTATTATAAATATTATAAAGAATAATTATAAAATTAAGTTTGGCAAAGTTTAGCTAATTTTTCATTAGGTTTAGCAGCACGAGTTCCAATATTACGCCTTTTAGCTTCTCTAAAATCTCTGCTTATCCATTTAGCTCGGTATTTTAAATGTATAAATACAAAAGATTCTAATATAAATGTTTGGTGGTCATGATTTATATCATTATGAACCCAAAATTGAGGATATTTTTGATAAACTGCGTCGCGAAGTAAAGAAGTTAAAAAAAATGATAAATTTTCTCTGTGAGGGTCTGCTGTAATAGCCCTATCGAAAACTTTGTAGGACAATAAGATTACTTTATATAAAAGAT